GTGGAAGGTATAGTGGCCCACCATAGGTATCAGTGGAAGGGATAGTGGCCCACCATAGGTATCAGTGGAAGGGATAGTGGCCCCACCATTGGTATCCATTGAAGGAATAGTGGCCCACCACTCGTATCAGTGGAAAGAATAGTGGCCCACCATTGGTATTCGTGGAAGGAATAGAAGCCCACCATTGGTTTCAGTGGAAGAAATAGTAGCCCACCATTGGTATCAGTGAAAGGAATAGTGGCCCACCATTGGTGTCAGTAGAAGGAATATGCTGGAGCAAATTGGACCATGCTTTGTAGGGTTTTGTGACTCCCTCTGGATCAGTGGGGGTATAGGATTCTGTATAGGGAGATTCTTTACTTATTTTATATGGAGGCTGGGAATTAATTTTGTATATTTTTAATTTGGCTGATTCAGCTGTAACGCTATTGAAAGTATTTCTATCTCTACTGGACCAAATTGGATCACGCTTTATGTTTTTTTTTTTATGCCTTCCTCTGGATCAACTGTGAATATAGGATTGTGTATATGGAGGTTTCCTATTTATTTTTTTATATTGATTGAACTAGATGGGCATGTGTCTTTTGTCAACCTATGTAAATCAACAAATTATTTAGTCTAACTTTAAATGGATTTTTTGTTCACCTTGTAATGACTTTCATAGCAATGCAATGACCGAACCTCTACCTAAGGTCAGCTGTGTGCCAAGATTCTCTGGAGTATTTGGAGAGCTGTTTCCTCTAACCATGACTTACGACTGGACAGCATTTTCCACTGCTCTGCCCTGCTTATCTCTTTGGAAGTCTTGTTGATTTTTGTTTCCTCCTCAGTCTTGAAATAGTGGCCCATACATAATTTTTCTGTATCTTTCTTTGTTTTTTTTTTTTTAATTGCTAAATACATTTAAAAAATTTATAAATGAACACATTTTTTAGGCTTGGCCTGTCACCATGCTTATGGCAGATGTAGCCAAAGAACGATAACATATCGAGTTGGAGAACTTATGTGCCAAAATCTTGAGATGAAAAAATCAGATGTGTTGTTCCAAAAATAAGTTAGCCACGTGACCTTTTTCTGTATTTTTTTTAATCATTATGAAACTAAGAAAAAACTGTCTTCAAAGTAAAGTGCAAATTAATATACGTGGGGTTGATTTACTAAAGGCAAACCGACTGTGCAGTGTGCAAGTGCAGTTGCACTTACGGCAAGGGCATTTGTGCCAGAGCTTGGTAAATGAGTGGGAGCTCTGCTGACTTTAATCATCCAATCATGTGCAAGCAAAACCGCTGTTTTTTCCTTGGATGTGATTGGGTATTCCTTGCAAAGTAAAGTTTCACCTCATTTTACTAAGCTGTGGAGCAAATTCCCATGCAAAGTGCACAATCTATTTGTCTTTAGTAAAGCAACCCCTACAGTGTTCATATTGACCTAAAAATTAAAAAACTGAAAAATTGCTATGTCACAAAGGCAGGGGACTCCAAACTTTCTAAACAAAGGGCTAGATTACAGTTCCTTGAACTTTTGGAGGGCTTCACTGTGGGAAGTAGAAAAAGTCCCAACATCACTGCGAAAAAATATTGCTCCATCGTGTCAGTTGGCGAATTATGCCCCACTGTTGGTATCAGTGGATGGAATGGTGCTTCAAGAGCCCTATAAGAATCAAGCCCCCGGACTGCAGTTTGGTGACTACTTTTATAAGGAATACAACGATCAGTCATACATTTTTGACCACCCACCGAAAATTGAGTAGGTCCCCCTTTCGCCACTAAAACAACCCTGGCCCATCAAGTAGATCTCTGAATGCATGCTGTGGTATCTGACACAAAACCATCAGTAGCAGATCCTTTAATGCGATAGTAAACTTCTGTAAAAGCAAAAAAAAAAATTCTCCTGCAAGGTAACATCATAATATGCTAGTATGCATTGCATACTGGCATATTATGAAAGACTTACCTTAAAATGAAGCCCTGTAGCGGCACGCTGTCACTACCGACAGGGCTCCCATCTTCACCCGGTCTTCCTTCTGGGCTCGTGGGCTAAGTATTTGCTAAGTAGTGCATGTTTAGAAGATATTCACTTTACTTACAGATAAGCTTTATTATATGCTTAACTATAGGTCAATACCACAAAGATGAGTTTACTACCACTTTAAAAACCGAATGCAGCGCTATATAATAAAGTGCAGGTAGTTATCAATAAACTGTATTAGTAATAGGAGTAAGTAATCTTCCTGAATAGAAATAGCAATGTGAATTCTCAATATGAGGATGCCCATATTGATGTTATATATCTCAGGTGACAGTCCGCACTGATGTTGATGGACAAATATCTATATCTTGGTGTGAATCAAAATAATCCGGTGATGTGCGACCAATGGAAAGATTGCCCACTCACCGGAAGCACAATCTTAATGCGCATAGATCAAATGTGCCAGAACCGGAGGTTCCCTTTAATGTACAGCCTGGGACGAGATCCTCTCCTCTGCAGGCGTGGGTACTAGAGATATCACTCAACAACGCCCTAACCGAATAAGTTGCGATAGGATCTGGTCAAAAAAGGCTCCCACCTCTGGTCCTGGTGGAATACCTGGGATCCTCCCAGGCTCTCGTCACATACAACACTTTCACTTCCATACACTCCGGTTATATCCACCAGCCCCATATCATTATAAAGATGTGTCTGACGCACAGCGGGGGACCAGGCATCCAATACAACTGGAAATGGGGGTCCCTGAGACATATTTCCAGTTGTATTGGATGCCTGGTCCCCCGCTGTGTGTCAGACACATCTTTATAATGATATGGGGCTGGTGGATATAACCGGAGTGTATGGAAGTGAAAGTGTTGTATGTGACGAGAGCCTGGGAGGATCCCAGGTATTCCACCAGGACCAGAGGTGGGAGCCTTTTTTGACCAGATCCTATCGCAACTTATCCGGTTAAGGGCGTTGTTGAGTGATATCTCTAGTACCCACGCCTGCAGAGGAGAGGATCTCGTCCCAGGCTGTACATTAAAGGGAACCTCCGGTTCTGGCACATTTGATCTATGCGCATTAAGATTGTGCTTCCGGTGGGTGGGCAATCTTTCCATTGGTCGCACATCACCGGATTATTTTGATTCACACCAAGATATAGATATCTGTCCATCAACATCAGTGCGGACTGTCACTTGAGATATATAACATCAATATGGGCATCCTCATATTGAGAATTCACATTGCTGTTTCTATTCAGGACGATTACTTACTCCTATTACTAATACAGTTTATTAATAACTACCTGCACTTTATTATATAGCGCTGCACTCGGTTTTTACATTGTCTATTTGTAAAGGTTTGTGGTTCCTTTTTAGTGCAATAGCTGCTACCGTAAGCGCTCGCTTTATTTCCTATTGTTCTGATCTGGTACTACCACTTTAGTTCATGTAAGATGTGAGGTGGGAGGCCTCCATTGATCAGATTTGTTGCACATCCCACAGATGCTCAATTGGAATGAGATATGGAGAGTTTGGAGGCAAAGCCAGCATCTAGAACTCATGTTCCTCAAGCCATTCTTGAACAATTTTTGCAGTGTGGCAGGGCGCATTATCCTGCTGAAGGAGGCCACTGCCATCAGGGAATACTGTTGCCATGAAGGTGTGTACTTGGTCAACAACAATGTTTAGGTAGGTGGTATGTGCCAAGGAACATCCACATGAATGGCAGGACCCAAGTTTTCCCAGCAGAACATTGCCTAAAGCATCACACTGCCTCCGCTGGCTTGCCTTCTTTACATACTACATCCTGGTGCCACCTCTTCCTCAGATAACCTCGGTACCCAGCTATCCGTATGATGTAAAAGAAACCGTGATTCATCAGACCAGGCTACATTCTTCTACTGCTCTATGGTCCAGTTCTGATGCTCACGTGCCCATAGTAGGCACTTTTGGCTGTGGACACTATCAGCATGGGCACCCTGACTGGTCGGAAGCTACACAGTCCCATACACAGCAGACTGCGATGCCCATTTTTTGTGCTTTCAAACACATCAACTTCAGGGACATTACCAAAAGGAGACTAGCAATAAATTAGTAACTTTAAATCCACCAAATAGGCAAAGAGTTAAAACCTCAACAATTTTTTATGGTTTCAATTCATTAAAAATGCAGAAACACCATGCATATAAAACAGTGTGAAAAATTGGTTCCTTAATCATATTATTGAAACCACAGTGAGATACAAGGACCTTTGTGATGGAGTTTCTTGTGTAATATCTACAGAAGACATCTGTATGGGATGATCTGGCAGAGGTGATTCAAGTACAGTTCTGAGGTGGAGGTGGGGTAGGCTTCCCTGAAGAAGTGAGTTTTCAAAGATCACCTAAATGCAGACAGGGTGGGGGCTGACCGGACATGCTGTGGTAGGGAGTTCCAGAGGATGGTAGAGGCTCTGGAGAAGTCCTGGAGGCGAGCGTGGGAGGAGGTGATGAGGGAGCTAGAGAGGAGGATATCATGGGAGGAGCGGAGTGGGTGATTTGGGCGGTATCTATGAATGAGGTTGGTGATGTAGCTAGGGGCAGTGTTGTGGATGGCTTTGTAAGCTGTGGTTAGTATTTAGAATTTTATACATTAGGTTAGTGGAAGCCATTGAAGGGATTGTCAGAGAGGGGCAGCAGTCACTGATCAGTTGGTAAGGTGTTTGAGTCTAGCAGCAGCATTCATAATAGACTGAAGGGGGGATAGCCTGTGTAACGGTAGACCAGTGAGGAGGGAGTTGCAGTAATCGAGGCGGGATATAACCAAGGCGCTCATCCATGTCTTTATGGACCTTGCTTTGCACTGGTGGGCAGTCATGTTGGAACAGGAAGGGGCCATCCCCAAACTCTTCCCACAAAGTTGGGAGCATGAAATTGTCCAAAATGTCTTGGTATGCTGATGCCTTCAGAGTTCCCTTCACTGGAACTAAGTGGCCAAGCCCAACCCTTGAAAAACAACCCCACACCATAATCCCCCCTCCACCAAACTTTACACTTGGCACAATGCAGTCAGGCAAGTACTATTCTCATAATTCTCCTGGCAACCTCCAAACCCAGCTCTAGAGTCCAGTGGCGGCGTGCTTTACACTACTGCATCCAACACTTTGCATTGCACTTGGTGATGTAAGTCTTGGATGCAGCTGCTCGGCCATGGAAACCCATTCTATGAAGCTCTCTACGTACTGTTGTTGTGCTAATCTGAAGGCCACATGAAGTTTAGAGGTCTTGACTTTGCAGACAGTTGGCGACTTTTGCGCACTGTGCGCTTCAGCATGCGCTAACCCTGCTCTGTCATTTTATGTGGTCTACCACTTGGTGGCTGAGTTGCTGTTGTTCCCAGTTACTTCCACTTTGTTATAATACGACTAACAGTTGACCAAGGAATATTTAGTAGCAAGGAAATTTCACAGATGGACTTACTGCACAGGTGGCAACCTACCATGGTACCACACTTGAGTTCACTGAGCTCTTGAGAGTGACCCATTCTTTCACAAATGTTTGTAGAAGCAGTCTGCATGCCTAGGGGCTTGATTTTATACACCTGTGCCCATGGAGGGGATTGGAACACCTGAATCCAATGATTTGGAGGGCTGGCCCAATACTTTTGGCAATATAGTGTATACAGTTAGGTCCATATATACAGTTGTGTTCAAAATAATAGCAGTCAGACATCACTAACCTGATCAATCACTGTTTTTGGTAGAAATGATATTTCTACATGGCAAATAATTTACTAGCAGGTGTAGTAGAGTAATAGAAATCCAACAGACCCAACAGTCATGACATGCATTCTGCTGATTCTGTGTCATTGAATCACTCATTGAAAGGGGCATGTTCAAAATAATAGCAGTGTGGAGTTCTATTAGTGAGGTCATTCATTCTTTAAAAAAGGTGGCAATTATTGCCCTTATTTAAGGAAGGAAGGCAGCAAATGTTGTACATGCTGGTTACAGTGCATTTCTCTCTGAAATTCTGAGGAAAATGGGTCGTTCCAGACATTGTTCAGAAGAACAGCGTACCTTGATTCAAAAGTTGATTGGAGAGGGGAAAACATATAAAGAAGTGCAGAAAATGATAGGTTGCTCAGCTAAAATGATCACAAATGCTTTAAAATGGCAACCAAAACCTGAAAGACATGGAAGAAAGCGAAAAAACTGCCATTCGAATGCCAAAATAGCCAAAATGGCAAGGACTCGGCCAACAATCGGCTCCAGGAAGATCAAAGAAGGTCTAAAGTTACCTGTGAGTACTGTTACAATTAGAAGACGCCTATGTGAAGCCAAGCTATCTGCAAGAAGCCCCCGCAAAGTCCCACTGTTGAAAAACAGACGTGCTGAAGAGGTTACAATTTGCCAAAGAGCACATTGACCGGCCTAAAGAGAAATGGCACAACATTTTGTGGACCAATGAAAGTAAGATTGTTCTTTTTGGGTCTAGTGGCCGGAGACAGTTTGTCAGACGACCCCCAAACACTGAATTCAAGCCACAGTACACTGTGAAGACAGTGAAGCGTGGTTGCGCAAGCATCATGATATGGGGATGTTTCTCATACTACAGTGTTGGGCCTATTTATCGCATACCAGGGATCATGGATCAGTTTGAATACATCAGAATATTTGAAGAGGTCATGCTGCCTTATGCTGAAGAGGAAATGCCCTTGAAATGGGTGTTCCGACAAGACAAGGACCCCAAACACACCAGTAAACGTGCAACATCTTGGTTCCAGACCGACAAGATTGACGTTATGGAGTGGCCAGCCCAATCCCCGGATCTTAATCCAATAGAAAACTTGTGAGGTGACATCAAAAATGCAGTTTCTGAGGCAAAACCAAGAAATAGAGAAGAACTGTGGAATGTAGTCCAATCGTCCTGGGCTGGAATACCTGATCACAGGTGCCAGAAGTTGGTTGACTCCATGCAACACAGATGTACAGCAGTTCTCAGAAACAGTGCTTATACAACTAAATATTCATTAAGTGATTCAAAGGAAAGCAAAATCTTCAAACATTTTTCAGTTTATATAGTGAAGGTTTGAGTTTGTAAAGAAGAATACAAACACTGCTATTTTTTTGAACAGTCTAATATTCACTTTTCTTCAATTTTTTTAGAGAAACAACACAAATTTGATATATTTTTTCTTCATGTTTTGATTTGGAATAGAATGTGTAGTGTTCCCAATGCATTTGTGTGTATGGAAATAAAAGCTATTAGAAGGATTTTGAGCTTTATTCACTTTTTTCAACACACTGCTATCATTTTGAATTTGTTTTATTTTGTATTTGGACACAGGCGCATTTTTAGATTTTTTCAGATATTTACCAAAACATATTCAAGCTATAGTTAGTTATATAATGGATATGGGGTGAAAGTGCACACTCTCAGGTTTAATTTGAGGATATGTACATCCAAATTGGAGGAAGGGTTTAGGAATTACAGCTCTTAAGAATAGCTATCCCACCTTTTTCAAGGGACAAAAAGTAATTGGAGAATTGAATCAAATGCTGTTTCATGGCCAGGTGTAGGCTACTCCTTTATTTCTTCATCAATTAAACAGGTAAAAGGTCTGGAGTTGATTTTAAGTGTGGTATTTGCATTTCGAATCTATTGCTGTGAACCTACATCATGTATTCAAAGGAGATGTCCATGCAAGTCAGGCCATTGTAAGGCTTAAAAAATTAAACAAATACATCAGAGAGAAAGCAGCAACATTAGGAGTGGCCAAATCAACAGTTTGGTACATTCTGAAGAAAGAAGAATGTACTGGTGAGCTCAGCAACATAAAAGGCATGGACATTCACGGAAGACAACAGTGGTGGATGATCGCAGGATCCTCTCTATGGTAAAGAAAAAACCCATTCAAAACATCCAGACAAGTGAAGGACACTCTCCAGGAGGTGGGCGTATCATTGTCAAAGTCTAAAATCAAGAGAAGACTTCACGAGAGCAAATACAGAAGGTACACCACAAGGTGCAAAACATTCATAAGCCTGAAGAACAGAAAAGCCAGATTAGACTTTGCCAAAAAAAAATCTAAAAAAGCCAGACCAGTTCTGGAAAAGCATTTTTTGGATGGATGAAACTAAGATGAATGAAAATGACGGGAAGAAAAAAAATGTGGAGAAGGCTTTCAACAGCTCATGATCCAAAGCACACATCATCTGTAAAACATGGTGGAGGCAGTGTGATGGCATGGGCATGCATGGCTTCCAGTGGCACTGGGTCATTGGTGTTTATTGATGATGTGACAGAAGACAGAAGCAGCCAGATGAATTCTACAGTGTTTAGAGATATACTGTCAGCCCAGATTCAGCCAAATGCAGCAAAGTTGATTGGACGGCACTTCACAGTACAGATGGACAATGATCCAAAACACACTGCAAAAGCAACCCAGGAGCTTTTGAAGGAAAAGAAGCGGAATATTCTGCAATGGCCGAGTCAGTCGCCTGATCTCAACCTAATTGAGCATGCATTTTACCTGCTGAAGGCAAAACTAAAGGCAGAAAGAGCCCCAAACAAAGAACAACTGAAGACAGCTGCAGTTAGAGCCTGGCAAAGCATCAGAAAGAAACCCAGTCCTTGGTAATGTCCATGGGTTCCAGCCTTCAGGCAGTCATTGCCAGTAAAGGATTCTCAACAAAATATTAAAAATGAACATTTTATTTACGATTATATTCATTTGTGCAATGACATTTGAGCCCCTGAAAATGGAGGGACTGTGTATAAAAAATGGTTGCAGTTCCTAAAATTTGTACTTGATATTTATTTTCAACCCCTTGAATTAAAGCTGACAGTCTGCACTTCAAATTAATTTTGGATTGTTTCGTTTTAATTTATTCTGGTGGCATACAGAGCCAAAAGTATGAAAATTGTGCCTGTGTCCAAATATATATTGACCTAACTGTATATCTGCAGTTTGTTACATTCCCATGTGTTGGTGGAGTGCATATGTAAGCAGAAAATAGTATTATAGTGGGTGCTGTTGAGCTTCATAAAGTCTGTTGAACAAAGAACTCGAAGTGCAGCAGCAAGAACATGTCACCTGCCGTGTCCAATTTCTTCTGCGCACACAGCGGAAGGCTTAGCAACTAATCAGAGATTCTATCTTAATTCCTAGAAACACAGCCGTCGTTACAACAGCCAGTAAGAGACCCACTGCAGTACACAGTGGATAGAATCAGATTAAGTTGGTTAAAGCAGTATTAAACCCAAAACCAAAAATGTAAATGTATTGCATCTTAGCAATCAGATGTGGTGGCTACATTCATTTTCTTTTATTTGGCTTTTTTGTTTTCCTTTTATTGTCACCTTATGATCTTGCCAGTAACACCCCTCCTGTATTAGAGTGCCCCCACTCTGGATGAAGGAGCACAGGGGGCATCTTTGGGCAGTAGTATTGTCAGTCTGGAAGAAGGGACTAGCAAATTTATATACACTAACAAATTGAAGCTAAACTCCAGTTTACACTTTATAAGCAGTTAGAGCAAACACATTTTTTTTTCCTTTTGGGATAAAAGTCATACATAAAAGTTGATCTTTGTAAAAACCCCTGTCAGTATTAAATGGTTTCCCATCCCTGTAACTGATACATTCTGCTGGAATGTTTGAGCTTTTGTAAAACAACAGACTTACTGCACACACGACACGGACATACTTGCAACTACACCCCTTTTTCTACTACTTTTTTGCAACTACTTTTTCTGAGTATGGCGATACCACATGTGTGACCTTCAGGCATTATCCGCTATAAGACCAGGCCGCCTTCTGACATTTTTTTTGTCTAAAAAAAGTAAAAATCAGGTTTTTTGCTGGAAATTGACTTCGAACCCCCGGACATTATATACTTTGTTTTTAGCAGAGGCCCTAGAGAATAAAATTTTTGATAATTTTTATGTTACACAGTTTTTGCGAATGCAATTTTACACACTAAACCAAAAATACACTAATTAATTTTAATGCACGCAAACACAATATAATACCCACTTTTTTGTAAAATATGATGTTGTGCCGAGTAAATAGATACCAAACAAGTCAAGGTTTAAAATTGCACACGCTTGTGCGATGGCGCCAATCGCCCGTATTTAAAAGACTCCATAGGCAACAATTTATAAGCCTTTACCAGGTTACCAGTTTAGAGTTACAGAGGAGGTCTGGTGCTAGAATTACCATTCTCACTCCGACGTTCGTGGCAATACCTCACATGTGTGGTGCGATCGCCGTTTACGTATGCATGTGGGACTAACATGTGAGTTCGCCTTTGCACGCCCACACGGGGGGGGGGGGGCACTTTCATTTTTTTATTTATTTATTGGTCTGACACTGGTACATTGACATGTTTTTGTGCACTTGTACACTGTGACAGATGTTGATTGTCTACCAGCGGACACGGACAGATGTTGCAATGGAATTCTATTGTAAATGTTGATGTGACACTGGTATACTGTGACAGATGTTGATGGGACGCTCGTACAGATGTTGATGGGACACTGGTACGGATGTTGAGATATTGCTACTACAGATGTTGAT